GATCTAACTGAAAATCAATGTATGCTAATTGGAAATCTTTTGAAAGTTTGTTCTAAAATAGAAGCAATCAGTTTGTGTGGCAATAGGAATATGAGAAGTGGATTATCAAAGATTTTTCTTGAACTTGCTCATTCATCAAATACTTTTAAAAAAATATATTTGACTTGGTGTAATGTAACTGAAGATCAATCAACATTTATTGTAAATATACTAAAAAATTATCCAAGAATAGATTGTTATCCAAAAATTAAACTTTAAAAGAATGAAATATGTTTATTGGAAGAATATGATAGAATTATGGGATATGTCAAGATACTCTCTCTTCCCATCATTCCTCAAAAAAAGAGGGAAGCAATGACCAGAAAAACCAGTCTGGAATTTTGTCTCTAAGAGAATTTTTTCATTGCTTTGGCTGTGAGTCACATTATTCCGGACAATGGTTTGGGGACTAATATTTTTGCTACTTTTGTATTTGATGTACTTATCCTATCCCCATTCCAGCATACAGTATTTGATAGCAAGTCCAGATTTTTGTTTATAAGTTGGTAGGAGCATTTTTAAATTTTCTCCCATAGTTCATCTTCTGATGTGAATTGTGCGCCATCATACACCAAACTTTTAGTCAGGTGCCACACATTTTCTATTGGGCTGAGATCAGGGTCAATTGATTCGATGTATGCTGTTCACCCTGAATGGAAAATTAATTTTGTTGAAAAAAATTTCAGTTTAAGATGTCTTTTTAAACGCAAAACCGGATGTAATTCAGATGTAAGGTTAATTTGGACTTATGGCCAAATAAAGAAAAAAACAATGAAATTTTCACAAATATGATAATTTTCATAAATAAAACTCTTTCTTTATGAAAATTTAGACAAAAAACAAATTTAAAACAAAGATAACATTTTTGGGGTGTTTTAAAAATTGGCCCATCCAAATTTACGGTGTCCAGGTATTATAACTTGAAAAAATAGTTTTTAGTTTTTACACGTAGAATTCTTTCTGTAACATTTCAATTGTATAGCTGTACTGTATGTATTTAAATAGTTCTTCTCTTTTGTTCAGAAACCCTGAACAACCCTGTTCAACTTAGTTTATTTTCCGAGTTCAAAAAATCTGGATACGCCACATCTACTTGCACAGACTCCAGTTAGGCCAGATGCTATACAAGCAGCATAACATATTTTTTTCAAATTGTCCTCATTTTTCAACTAAAAAATAACACAGATAGCAAGTGAGTCCTTTCTAAATTTTAACATTTGACTTACCAGTTTCAATGTAGACAATTTAATGGTTCTTGGTGTATTGCAAGTTGAACCAGCATTTGCTCTGCTTCCATCAATTCCAGCCATTACAAACTCACAAATAACAGCTGTTTCCAAACTATCCAAATCATCGCTCTTTCATCGAAATAAATGTTATTATTAAAAAGAGAAAGTTGGATAGAACAAACTATTAATACTAACACCTCTCTTGACCAATTCGTCCCCTTCTTCTCTCAGCAGATCAAGTAAAGAGGAACTTTGGCATACTTGCAAAACCAGTGCAATAACAACAATTGCTGATACAAATTTCATGTCTTCTTCTTGAAGATTCTAACTTCTAAATTGTAGGAAATGATCATTTTTACAGAAGGCTCTTCCCTTTATATACATTTATGATTTAAATGAAAAGCTTTTTAGCTTAAAAGCTTATCCAACCAGTTTCTGGTCTATATTTAAAACATTGACATATATACAGGATAAATAGTTTACCAGATTATTTATAAATAAGCATTGAATTCAGTTTATCATTTAATCTACAAAATTGTGAAAATAACAAAAATAAACTAGTTAAGCATGACTGCTTTGAAAAAAGTCCAAATAATGCATACCTAAACCACAAATACGGCAAATTCAACAGCCCTCAAAACTATTTTAGTAAATTAGCTTTCGATATACAAAACAGAACAACGGCAAAGGACTATTGAAACAAGTTTTGGCATTACTTTTTCTTCCAGATGAAGCTATTCTAAACAGTTTTTACATGCTAAAAGAGGAGGTCTTTGAGAGAAATGAATTTTTGGATTTTTTTCCAATACATTGAAAGTACTTGGATTAAGCATTCAATTTGGACAGCAGATTGTTGGTCTGTATTTGGTCTTGCCATCAAGACCAACACTCCTTGGGACGTTTTTTCCCATACTCACTGTGTCAAATCAATCACAATATTTTTGGGTTGTTCTCCATGGGACCGGTCGAAAACTTCCATAAAAGAAATATTTGAAAGTTAGATTTCAGCCTGGGAAATGGTTAGGAGGAATAAGATAACTGTTGATATGTTCTTAGGAGGGTCCCATCTAAGGGTTAGGGGTATTCAAAAAGGTTAGGCAAAAACAAGGGCTGGGTTAGGGTTAGGGTAAAACCATAGATATATGGCCGTTCTACCACATCCGTTCTCCATCTAAAAGTTTTAGTATTTTTTTAAAATTATAGATATATTTGTACCACTTCAGACAGAACATTTTTTAAAAATTTAAATGGATGTTATTGAAAACACCCACAGTTTTGTGGTTTACCCAAAATAACTTCAAAATGGGCGTTTTTAATTGCTCCCGATTAAAGTGTTAAAGAAACCCGATTATTATTGATTTGTTTGGTCATGTTGGTAAAAAGCACATATTTAGATATGAATAATAGATGGACAGAAAATGTCCTAGAAAGAAGAGAAAACATTCATGAAATGCCAAAATAATCTATTATTATTATAATATTATATTCATATATAAATTTATATATACTGTATATACAGTATAGACAAAAGTCCCTAGCCCCAGTTTAGATATTAAGCTATACAAAACAACTACTTTGATTTGGCAATAATAATCATTAATATGTATAAACTAATATTCTTTATCAAAAAATTGTTTTTCTTTTATAAAATCCAGTTTTAGTAATTATACCTCGAAAAAAAGGGAGTTGTTAAAAATGAGTCACCATCTATTTTATCAAATATTTTACATAAAATTTACCTTAGGACACTGTTTTACAATTTATATATATGAACTATTATAACATTTTATAAAAATATAGTAATAATACTTTTAAACTTTTTTAATACTTAGTATGACCAGCCTTATTGAAAAGACACTGCTGTAGCCTCTTTCTAAAACTATTAAGCCATTTTTCAACATATTCAGTTGGAATATTGTCAAATTCTTGCTGTGTTGCCCTCCTTAGATCATCTACATTTGTGCATGTATGTTTATCAGCCCTTCCTTTTATGTATGACCATAAATTTTCAATAGGATTTAGGTCAGGACTCTGGGCTGGCCAGTCTTCCATGTTTCTTATGTTCTTTTTATTTAGATACCTTAAGATACTCCTAGATGTATGGCATGGAGCACCATCCTGCATGAATACATGATCTCTATTGTAATTCTCTAGAAAAGATTTATCAAGAATTTCTTGATATTTTTCTGAATTTAAATTGCTTTTATATAAATGTATACCGAAAGTGCTACAAGAAGAAGGCAACCAGCTTGATAAGTAACTATTAGACTAAAACAAAAAATAGAAATTTATAAAATAAAACAAGACAAAATAATTAATTAAGCTTATATGGATTTTTTTGGCGCACCTTTTTGCCTCTTTTTTTAAGATAAATAAACAAAAAAACTATATGAGTGTATTCTACTAGTACAGTTCTATATATATATTCCAGTGACAAGATATTTACTGCACTATGAGTAAAGGGAACCTTTGTATTCGGACCAATATCATAACTATTCTTCTTTTACTGGGTCATTTATTATTATGAACTCCAAGAATATCAATAATTTTTGTACATCAATCCAACAATTTTGTGATGGAATCAATCATTGTACATATGTTATGAAAGCCATTTTTTTGACAACAGCTCGGAGAAACAATCCTTTACATTCAGGCTCTTCGATAGCTAAAAATTTTAATAATAGAACCTTTCATAAAGCTATTAAATATAAATATAGTAATTCATTTAATACTTTAAAGAAAATACAATAAATTGAAAGTGTTGTCAGCACCTCCTGACACTACCTCTCTACACAACTAAAGTCCATGTTTTAGGAATACCCTTTTATATTTCTAAATATAGAAAAAATTGAGAAAAAAAATCAATTTACCATTTCAAAATGGCCGCCAATCAACGTTTCAGGAATGAAGATTACTCTACATGTGGAAGTTGTTTGGTATCTTGAGTAGGATTTTATTCTGAAAGTGCTTCCTAGTAAATAACCATGCTGTTTTATATAAACTCAAAAACTGTCAATTGTAAAATATTTTAGAAGGACTGCAAAAAATCTTAAACATTTTTAAGATTCATTATTTACATAATTGTTTTTTGAAGAACAGAGTTGATTGATTGAAATTTTTCTAAAACATTGTTCACCATTGAGGCAATAAGTCTATCTGGGAAAAGAGAGATGAGCAAGGGATTATTGAATATTTGTGAAGGACTTCAAATGTCATCGAATACTCTTAAATGTCTTAATTTTAATAGATGTAATTTAAATGAAGATCAAAGTGAACAAATTGGAAATTTGCTAAAACATTGTTCTGCAATAGAAACCATAAATCTGTCTGAGAATGAAGAGATGGGTAAAGGAATATCAAATATTTGTGAAGGACTTCAAATGTCATCAAACAATTTGAAGAATCTGGATTTAAAGCTATGTAATTTAAATGAAGATCAAAGTGCACAAATTGGAAATTTGCTAAAACATTATTCTGCAATAGAAACAATAAATCTGTCAGAGAATAAAGAAATGGGTAAGGGAATATTGGATATTTGTGAAGGCCTTCAAACATCATCAAAAACTTTAAAAAGTCTTAATTTTAATAGGTGTAATTTAAATGAGGATCAAAGTGCACAAATTGGAAATTTGCTGAAAAATTGTACTGCAATAGAAACTATAAATCTGTTGAGGAGTGACTTTGCTAAAGGAATATTGAAAATTTGTGAAGGACTTCAAATGTCATCAAACACTTTAAAGAATTTGGATTTAAGTTTATGTTATTTAAATGAAGAACAAAGTACACAGATTGGAAATTTGCTAAAACATTGTTCTAGAATTGAAGCAATAAGTCTGTCTGAGAATAGACAGATGGGTAAGGGAGTATTAAACATTTGTGAAGGACTTCGAATGTCTGCAAATACTTTAAAGAGTCTTAATTTTAATAGGTGTAATATAACTGAAGATCAAAGTACACAAATTGGAAATTTGCTGAAAAATTGTACTGCAATAGAAACAGTAAATCTATTAGGGAATAGGTTGGGTAATGGAATGTTGAATGTTTGTGAAGGACTTCAATTATCATCAAACAGTTTGAAGAATCTGGATTTAAGTTTATGCCAATTGAATGAAGAACAATGCACACAGCTTGAAAATGTACTAAAGAATTGTTATAGAATTGAAAGAATAGGTCTTTTTGTGTACAGAAATACGAGTAACGAAATAATGAACATTTTTGAAAGACTTCAAATATCATCAGATACATTAAAGAATCTTAACTTAAATAGATATAATTTAAATGAAGATGAAAGTACACAGATTGGAAATTGGCTAAAACATTACTCCAGAATAGAATCTATAGATCTATCTAAGAATAGAGAGATGGGTAGGGGAATATTGAATATTTGTGAAGGACTTCAAATGTCATCAAACACTTTAAAGAGTCTTAATTTTAATATGTGTAATTTAGATGAAGATCAAAGTATACAGGTTGGAAATTTACTAAAAAATTGTTCTAGAATTGAAGCAATAAGTCTGTCCTGCAACAGACAAATGGGTAAGGGACTTTTCAATATTTGTGAAGGACTTCAAATGTCATCAAATACTTTAAAGAGTCTTCATTTAAATGGATGTATTTTAAATGAAGATCAAAGTATACAGGTTGGAAATTTGTTAAAACATTGTTGCAAAATAGAAACAATGTATCTTTTGTGGAATAGACAGATGGGTAAAGGAATAATAAATATTTGTGAAGGACTTCGAATGTCATCAAATACTTTTAAGAATCTTAATTTAAAAAGGTGTAATTTAATTAAACCTCAAAATACGCAAATTGGAAATTTGCTGAAACTTTTTTCTGAATAGAACCAATAGATCTATCTGTCAAGGGGTTGAGTGTGAATATGTAATAATTCTATTATTGAAGTTTTGAATGAATTGTTTGGCCATAAATGTATAAACTGTTCTCTTGATTAGATAGAGTTATATTTCTTTAATTAATTTGAACCAAGTGCTTTTTGCAAGATTTAATAGAGATAAATATAACTATGCTTTCTTGTGGATTATTGAAGTACAATATTCGATTTAAAGTACTATCTTCAATTTTTCAACTAAGTCAATATATTTCATAAATGAAATTGAATAGTTGGAAAAAAATTATTAATAACTTTCTACCTGATGAACTCTGCAGAGAGACATTTGTGAAAATAGGGAAAGGAATTTAATCTTTATAACAAACTCAAAACATCAGTCGTATCTGATAAATAAACTTGAATAGTTTAAAAATCAACATGCTGGCTTGTGGTAGTATCATACATTATTGAAATTATAATATTAATCCATTGTTCAGCAAATTTAAAAGTATAATTGTAGCATTTTACATAGTTTGAGTATGGAAAATCTAAGATCACAGATGAAGCTGAGTTTCAATCAACTCTTACTTTTGAATGATGGTTTGTCAACCTCCTGTCTGAAAATTGTACATTGTTTCTTTTTTTCTTGATTAGCTAGACTAAATATGGCATTTTTACTTCTTTCAATCAAATTTCACATAAAATAAAATCCTTTAGCAGACCCAGAGAATGAGGGAATCTGACTTAGCGACGCATAGTGACAATGACTCATTATATAGAATACATGATCAATGATTGTAAACAGTGATGATGTGTGGGCTCTTTTTTCCATTGCACATATAAAGGCTCTGATAAATCTGCTTCCAGACCTTTCACCAGATAGACCTGCATATCCTTCAAAAAGACATTACTCTATCATAAGTGATTATCTGTTAGGATATCCATACCTTGAATTGTTGAATAGATTTGTAAGGTATCTCCGCCAGGAATTGCGTGTTCAGAAATGTATCTTTTTTTGCATATTTTCCCAGACTGTCTATTAGTTCTCAATTCATTTTCATGTTCAAACTCTTTGAAAACAGCTTCACATTCTTTTGTTTCTTTTTTATGGAAAACATAACCTGCAAAAACGTTTTTGAACAGTATTTAAATAGAAACTGGTACCATACTCATTACCTCCTAGACAAGTATTGAAAAAAAATATTTTCGGTTTTAAGTCCAGCTCTGTACAGTTGGAAGAACTAAACTTATTAATTAAATCAGCATAGGCAAAAAAATCATTTGATTCTCTCCTTTTCTTTTGATTAGGTTTTAAATAAAACCCATTTTCATCTCCATGTGCCATTGTAAAGAATATTAATCCTCCAAACTTTTTCAATTTTTTTTTTAGTTTTTTCAAAAGTGCTTGAAACGTATCAATGTCAAGGTCATCCCAATGTTCAGTGGAATATTTCGTCTCAAAAGCTTGTTTAACAATTTGATTATGAATTGTTATGTTGAATTTATTTATAGATTCAATGTTAAACAAGTTTTTTACGAGATGATTTTGTCAGTTCTCTAAACAATTTTTGTAAATTTTTAACATCAATCTTGCTTTCTTGTCGCCTATTCTTCTTAGTTTCACTATAATAAATGCTTATGTTATTGAACATGTTAGAACAGCTGTTTTAAAAAACTACAAATATCCTGAAAGATCAATTCTATCATCTCTAAATGTGCATATTTAACTTTCTAGAAGAGCTAACCCTAACATTACAATATGTAGAGAAGTGAACCTACTAAGTTTTTATGTTCAGTATTATAACTTTGATAATCTTTCCTCTGGTGTCATAGATGGTCTGCAATGAAATAAAAAGAATGAATTAAGTAATAAAGTGTGTTTGAAGATTTTGCACTGATTCACATAAAAGTGGCCACTAAGATTTTGGCTATTATTTATAATGTGTCAATGTGACAATGTTTAGAAATAAACCAATGCAAATCTTCTATATAATTTCTCTCTGTTTTAGACCTTTCCACACTCCATTTTAAATTGAAAATTATCTTTAAAATTTCTGTCTTTTCCAGTGAAAGGTATTATTAGTACATTCTCTAAAAGAATAAAGAGTAAACTTTTATAGAAAAGAGGAAAGCAACTAACATTGAACTTACCATTTGATAGAAAATATTTATAAGAATCCAACTGTGTTTTAGGGAATTTGAAATGTGGAACACGATTTATCAAAGTCTTAGAGTCACTCTCATAAAGTGGGATATAATCAGGTGTCTTAAAAACTAAATAGTCCAATGTAGCTTTTGCAATTGTTTTTGAACAGTTTTTTTTCTTCATGTGGCTCCTCTTCAATAAAAATGTTGTTATAAAAGCTGCCAGTGGATTGCTACAAACTTTTAGTATATTTGTAGTACTTGTCATTGAATTAAGATATTGATTTTTTTCACGTAACTGTTGAAAATATTCGTATGTTGATGAAAAGCCAATCACTTCTCTTTCATAGTCTGATTTTACATTTTCAGCTGAAAAATTTCTTGAGAATATTACAACTGAATGTGGAAAATGAATAGGTTGGCCAGTAATTATTTTATAGAAGTCATTCTGTTCATTATTCATTTTATCAAATTCATCCAAAAGAAATAAAATCCTTTTGCCTTTCTTTCCAAAATACTGCAGGAACCATTGGACACAGTAGATAGACTGCCAGAGATCATTTTTCCATTGATTATATAGAGAAGTGTAGTATGATTCATTTTCCTTAACTTTACTCAAGTCAATTCTGATAATCAAATCTATATTCTCAATTTGAAAATGTTCAGGTTTTTTCATTATCTGTAAACATAGAAATGATTTTCCACTTCCTCCCTCTCCTTTTATCAACATTTTGAAACTTTTTTTCAAATTTACAAAAGATAGAGATACTTCTTTATTGTGCGTATCTGTAATCTTTAATGGTTTGTAAGCTTTGTCAAAATCTATGTTTTCATGTTTCCTAATTAACTTTTTATTCAAAAGAAAATTTGAAATGTTTTGTAAAATTTCATTGCAAACATGTTGAATTGAATCTTTCACAATGGTTTGATTACGATTTAGAAAAATTTCGGAAATTTGTTCCAAAACCTCTTCAGTATAAACAGGTCCAATTTCTTCCAATAACTTGCATCTTATACCCAGATGTTCATCATAAACTATATGTAGATTAGTAAAATTTGGAGAATACTTTGTCCAATATTTGCTTTCACTTTGCAGTTTCTCCTTCTTCAGAATATCTTGAAATTTCACAGACCATTTAATAAAAAATTGGACAAACTTAAATTCTATCTTTTCTCCTAGTAATGCAGATTCAATATTACTGGTTTGCTTCTGAAAACAAACAGAAGGTTAAAAATTAACAATGAAACTGTAGTGAACAGTTTCTATATAGAATTTATTTTACTTTTCTTGGCAGCTTCCATTTATGAAGTGTATGTGGGCCTAACAGACGAAATCCATCCATTTCTTCGGAATTATTATTGATTAAAATTGAATGAGGAAAATTTTCAGTTTCTCCATTCAATATTTCACGGAATGCACTTGGAACTGTTCCATTAGGATCATATTTTGTAATCAGAAAAGTTATTGTATAGTTATTTTCTTTGCAAAATGTAAAAAATTTAGAAATCATCTCTTCTGTGTATTCATTGAAAATTTGTTTCTCTAAAGTTTTTAAATAGGTTTCATTCTTCTCAATTTTATTAAAATTTAGTTTCAAAAATATTACTGTATCTAATTCCTTCAGGCCAGGAAATTGACTACCAAATTGACATCTGTAATAGTTAGAATGGTTACTCTTTTTAAAGTACTCAAAATACATCAGCCATTTTCCAAAATAGAATTTGTAGATATGAGAAATATTCTCTCTTAATTCTGATTCATAATATTCTTCTACATGATACATGTGTATGATAGGAAAAAATTCATTATCCTCGGACAATAAAGTCTGTAATTGCTGTCTTTTCTCCTCCATCAAACAATTTTTTTGTACCAAATTATATACAGTTTCACTCATACTGTTCTCTGAAGGAGAAAAAATCTGTTTGTTTGAAAAAAATGCGTGATTATTACATTACCAAATGAGCTTATTCAGAAATGTAAAATGACAGCTTACCGGAAATGGAATAGCACAAAATATTTCTAAATCAGCATTTTTCAATTCGAAAACCTCTTCGCTATTCAACCTTATTTGATTTTTTGACCAAGCATCAAAAGAGTATTTGAATTTTTTTTTACCTTGAATAACATTTGAAAAATATTCATTTTCAGGTGAAATATCATCTAAATGATCAAAGAAGAAATGAATTTTTCTTTCTTGTAATTTATAATATTCTAACATCCATTCAAACAGTTCATTTGAAAACCAAGAAGCTTTACTGTCAACTTCTCTTCTTATTAGTGTTAAATAATCATCCTGACCTTTCACCTTTCTCAAATCTAATTTAATTATTAGATCAAAAGGACAGGAAATTTCTTCTTCTGTATCAAAAATAGAAATATATTGCATGTGTGATAATACTAACATGTGACTATAATCTTGGCTATGGAAATTTCTCAAATTTTTATTGTTTGTATATATTCTAAAAGCTGTGTCTTTCCATAAACTACTTTTGTCCATTGAAGAAAAAAGTTCACATTCCACGTAATTTGTAAGATAATCACATATCTGATTTAAAAGAATAGTAGCAGTATTTCTATTTGATAACTTCTCTAATTCTTTGCATATTTCAACTATATTCTTTTCAGAATTAAATTCTTTGGCCACTTCACCATACACATCTTCTAGTTGATCTTTAAACTTAATAATCGGACATTCTCTTGGATTCATAACTAAACACTATAATAACTTTACTCATGCAAATAAATACTACTCCAGTTAGCAATATACAATATCCCATGGGCCAAAAATTACAAAAGTCTTTGTAATTGATTATAAAGATAAAGAGTTATGTAGTTTCGTTTTCTGTGACTCACCATGCTCACTCAATATCTGAAATGCTCTTAAGCAATACTACAGTACAGGTAACCTATTTTTGAACGCTCAGCTATTTTCTATTTTAGTTAAAATATTTTTTCTTTAACATTAACTTTACAATCGAATAATTAGACATGGAAATTTGCCACTTTGTAATCAACATATTCAATTAATTAAATCTTCAAATTTCACTGTTTAAGTATCAAAAAAAATTTTATTCTGAAAAAATTACACAAAGTGCCCGATATCCTATTTTTGAACAATAATTGAATTATTGGGTACGGTTTGACCCAGGTACGGTTTCACCCGTAAATGAGGTTACTGAACCTAACATACTATTTCCTGTTCCTAAATGGGGTGGAGATGATTATAAAGTTATTTCAATTGAGGAATGCTTTGCTGTTTGCAATTCCTATGAAGAATGCAAGTATGTTAATTCGTGACAGAAACAAAAATGTACTAATATAGTTACTATATACTACTGTTACTACTTACGCCCTGCTTTTATACAATTCCTTATCAGTTGTTTTTATGCCTTAGCTGTTAAAAACAAGGGTCTAACCCCAGATAATGATTGTTTACAACAAACAGGGTCAAGAGTTATCATATTATGCAATAGTGATGTAAACAACAACAACTTTGTGTCAAGGGTCAATTCTTACATCATATTTATGTAAATAAACGCTTGTTGTTGTTGTCAACATGCTTTGTTATGTAATACCTTTGCTTATAAAAGGGGTTGATTCTGGCAGTTAGGTACCATCTACCCCAGAGGAAGTATCTACTTCAACACTTCTACCATATGGTAAGTATTATTTATAAAATATCTATAAAATATAGTTTATAAGCGTACAAAAATTATTTTTCTTAAATAGAATTATGTTGTTTAAAGGGTATTTTATGTAATTTCATACAACATTTGTTTTTTTCAGATTTTTAAAGTACTTTTTTTTAATTTTAGACAACAAGTACTTTTTGCAATTAAATTATATAATTTAAAAATGGCCATATATATCTATACAAACATGTTTCTTATCTAAATAGTTTTTAAAACATTTGAGTTTAGAACAAATCTTACTTCGCAGATAATTACTTACATTTCTTTGTCAAAATGAAATATCAATCACAAATTAGAGACCTAGCAAGGCGGAAAAAAGGTGAAATGACCTACAAAGAACTTGAGGCAGACTTGAAAATCTCAAAACTTTCACTCCAGTATATCTGTGAGAACAAAAGAGAAGGAAAACCTGACAGAAGGGGAAGACCACCCAAAGCCAATGACAGAGTGAAGACATTGATTAAGAGAGAGTGTATAAGATTGCAGGAAAACAAAGAGTTGGCAACTGCTGAAAAAATTAAGGATAATTTAAGCCTGGATGTTTCTGAAAGAACCATTCTGAGGATTCTAAATAAAAATAGAGCAAAGTATCTGTCTATTTTGAAGGTATGCCCTTTGTCAGCAAGAGCAAAAAGCACACAGTTAAGTATACTTGGTAGATGGGTTCAGAGCCAAATTGAATACAAAAAAGTTGGCAAATATGCAAAAAAAACTTTTAAAGAGGCAAATGGTTCCCTAAATATATGGGGTTTTATAAAAAGTGATGGCAGCAGAGGTTTATATAAAAGTAATTTAAATTTGGAGAAATATCGAGAAATTCTTGATAAATCTGTTTTAGAGAATTATAATAGAGACCATGTATTCGTACAGGATAGTGCTCCATGCCATACATCAAGGGGTACCTTGAGGTATCCAAATGAAAAGAACATAAGGCACTTGGAAGACTGGACAGACCAGAGTCCAGACCTAAATCCTATTGAAAATTTATGGTCATACCTAAAAGGAAGGGTTGGTAAACATATGTGCACAAATATAGATGATCTATGGAGGGCAACACAGCAAGAATTCAACAATATGAATATGTTGAAAAATTGTTTAATAGTTTTAGAAAGAGGCTACAGATGTGTCTTTTCAATAAGGTTGTCATACTAATATCTAAACTAAAAATTTTACGAGGTGGCTGGGGACTTTTTGCCCATACTGTATATATATAACTTTACATAGTCATCATAATTGTTAAATTGACATTTATAAAAAAAGGAGAGTTGCTTCTTGTAACAACAATGGGTTTATCTTCTCTCAAAAATTTATGATAAATTCCTAAAGAAGAGAAGAGAGTATATTAAATTATATTCTCCTATTATCTCAGATTAGAGCCATAACTCTGTCCTTATTTTCATTGTTACTGGCTGTTCTTGGGCGTCCTGGTCTCTCTTCATCAAGAATATTTGTTCTTCCTCCTTTAAATTCTCTAACCCACTTTCTTATTGAACCTTCACTAAGTGTTGTACTACCAGAAAAAGCTTTCATCATCCATTAACAATGAAACTGTACCTAACAGTTTCTAATAGAACTTGTTTTACTTTTCTTGCCAGCTTCCATTTAGGAAGTTTTTGTGGGCCAAATAACTTTACGCATGCAAATAAATATCCTTTTGAGAAACTTTATGTTAGTTTTTTAGTTATCCCCACTAACCTTTACAATTTACAATTGTTGAAAACCATAGAGTTCATTTATAAATAAAAAAAGGATTTTTAAAAGTCAAATGTTTTCATTATCATAATGTCTAAATCCAAAAACACAAACACTACCTATAAATAATAAGATAGGAATGAATACTTGACTATCTACCTGTTCATTCCGAGTTTTTGCATATAATCAAGTTTTATTTAAAAAAAATTTCTATTGCTGTTGTCACATATCCATTCGTGGAAGAATGAAACTGTTATTTCAAAGTTTTTCCTATATTATCATATTTTTTCAATACTTTACTGAACAAGAACTTCTTGGTTTTAAACAGTATGAGAATGAGGTTGTTGAACCTAATGTAAGATTCAGTGTTCCTGAATGGAGTGGAGATAATTTTAAAGTTATTTCAATTGAGGAATGTTTTGCTGTTTGCAATTCCTATGAAGAATGCAAGTAAGTTAATTCGTGACAGAAACAAAAAAGTACTAAATATATTTGGAATTTTTTAGGGCAATTGATTATAAAATGGCAACAAAACGTTGTCATTTAAAGAGTTCATATACAGGCAAGAGCTATCGTGATAACTTTGTATTATTTGTGAAAGATACACAACCTCAATTATCGGACAACTTTTATCATATTTGGGAGAATAAGGTAGTTGTTTCAGACCCACCCTTTGTTTCTCCCATATGGAATACTGATTATAAAGCAGTAAGTCTTGATGTCTGTTTAAAAGAATGTAATTTGCATTCCGGATGCAAGTCAGTAATATTTTTCTGTTCCATTATGAATACAATTTATATAACTATTCTTTTCAGAGCTATTGATTATGTTTTGGCATCTAGAAATTGCTCTTTAAAAACTCAATATACAAACTACAAATTCTTTGAAGCAGGTCTACTCTACATAAAAGGTGCTTTTTGTAAATAATAATTCAATGATTGAAACTTTTTCCTACATTTCCTAACATTTCATAAAAGTAACGTTATCAATAATTCATTTGACATTTTTATCAAAAGAAAATAGTTCAGACAAGGGCTACTGATATGCAAGTGGTAATATATCAGGGTTAGGGTTTTTTTTTCATAAAATTTATACTTCACATTTCAATTTTTGGGGTTTCTGGTTGAGCAGTAGAAGACCAGTAAAATATTTGGGGAATGCTAACTGTAAAATATGCGATGAAAATGATTTGGCTTATCCAGTTGAGCTATTTAGTGATCGTAGAAATTCCCTAAAAGGGTTTAATAAGGTAAGAGAGTAGAAGATAATCTTTTTTCAATCTTAATTCTGTAAAGATAAATCTTTTCTCTAAATATAGACATTTGTTCCCCGAAAAGGTCAAACACTTCATCTATATCATGTTCATTTAAGACATAGTTGCCAATTAACTGAAGAAAATGGTACTTTAATAACAAAATATGATGGTTTACCAAAGATAGCACTTTCTTGTTCAGCGAATTATGAAAGATTCTATTTGAAAATTGATGCAGTTCTCTTAGGTTTCTTTTTTCTTCAACTTAAATAATACATTGAGTAATTATCTCTCATTGGCTCTATTATAATTTCAGTTGAATGTAAACTTTCCAATGTCTGCCTATCATCAACCAATTCCATAAAGCTGTCTATCCACTTTTATGATGTACAAAATATGATAGAACTGTTTAACGTTTAACCTCTATAGTATCACTAAATCCTATTAGCATTATTATAAAAAACAATTGGTTTGAGAATTTCTTAACAGAATTTCAATTTCAAAATGGCGTCCTTAGATCTTTGATAAAATTATATGAAGTTGGAGTCTATGATAATACATCTGATAGGAACTAATCCCAGAATGATTGGATTATACTAAACTTCAGGTGAGATAATGTGAGGCAGGAATTTATAGTTGAATAATTTATTTGCAAAGCGATCCATTAAATTTTTTCTTTTACTTTTAAAATAATCATTTGTAACACAAATAAGAAATATAGTGTGGGATAGATCTAGCAATCCTTGTTCAAGTAAAGCAACATTTTATGTTTATATTGAATAGGGTGATAAAATAGAGACAATTGAAAGCACTACTAAATTAGAAGAAACTCAACATTTAGCTACTGATAAACAATTTATCACTACAAGAAATTTAAATGAATTTCAACCAGATTCATCAGATTACAAAACTGAATCAGCAGATATGGTTACAGAAAATCACATAGCTATTCAACAAGGCTATCACAGTTATTTAATTATTGGTATTAGTAGCTCAACTGCTTCAATAATTATTGCCTTAATTTCAATTCTATACACAGTTTATCAAAAAAAAAGTAGTTTTAATTCAAAAAGAAATTTTAGTATAAATTGAGTTGATATTTTAGAAAATTTATTATTTGCTATAAAAATTTCCGTCTTCTGTTCAACAACAAAACATGAAGTTGACTGAAGCGTTTGCTTTATTATTAAGCTGTGTAATCTGCTTTATATCAGGTGGAGAGAGAATAAGAGATTTTGAATTTTTTTCATATTTTATGTCTATCTATTCAATTAATTCATTATTTCTCTATTTTAAGTTGAAGGACAAGATCTTTTTGGATTTAATGTCATCTCTGATAAAATTTCGTCGTAAACTTCTTTTGAAAATTCAGTTAAAAGTTTAAACAGTTGTCTTCAAAATGCTGCCTTTATAGCCAATCGAAATGCTATTATTTTTATGGAGGTAATGAGAATAATTTAAAATCCCAAATAGGAGCTAAAACATATTTCAGAAATATGGACATTTAGTCTCTAAACATAAAAATTTGAAATATTCAATATTCACTGTCAAAACAAACAAACAATCAACAGAAATGCTACCATATTATAATTGATCAAAGATGCTCTGCGGGAAAAGATATGAAAATTATATCTAATGGCACAGTGGAGAAATGCTCGAATTATTGTGCTAACAACAGTCAATGCCTTGGTTTTTCAATCAATTATAAGAGAAAGATCTGCTGGAACAAGCATACAGTAAAGAGCTCATTCCTTTTTACTGATAGACCAAACAATTCATTTTTTCGGAAAAATGTTAAGAGTTTGTATTACAACTTTTTTATTTTTTTCTCTGATTCTACTCTATTCCTTTCTCCAACCAGATTTCCCAATCAGAGGCTTTACCAAACTTGACTATTCATTTACAATTAGAAATTATGATGCTGTTGTACACGATGGAAGAGATTTTTCCAAATGCCCAAGTGAATGTGAAAAAAGGAGTTGGTGCGTAGGATTCCAAATATATTATAATACATGCCGACTTGTTAAAACTGTACTCTACCCTGTGCACTCTTTTGACAAGCCATTATTCATGAGAAATACAAAACGAAGCTCTTGGCAGAATAAATTCAAATAATTCAATTTATCTGAAAAATATTAATATAGTAAAAGCAAGTCTAATACAACTGCAGTGAAATTTCAGAAATACTAAGTCTCTCATTTTTTGTTAAACCTAAAAGGTTATACTGTAATTGCGTCAAAATTATGCAAACTTTTTTTGCAGTTTTTTAAAATTCTATTTGAATTTTTGAGAAATTTTTAAACATGTTCAAAACTCTTTTACATTCCTCCTCATTCAAATTACAACCAAGGAAATTAATTTCCTTTAAAGCGTTTGCAGATTGAACAAGTCCACTGCAAATATCAAATAATCCATTTCCCATCTGTTGATTTCGTTTTAAATTAATTATCTCTAATTTAAAACAATATTTTAACAGATTTCCAATTTGTTTACACTGTTCTTCATTTAGATTGCAACCGAGAAAATCCATTTCCTTCAAATGACTGGAGGATTTGATAAGTCCACTGCAAATTTCAAATAATCCATTTCCCATCTGTTGATTTCGTTTTAAATTTATTACTTCTATTCTGGAGCAATTTTTCAAAAGATTTCCAATTATTCTGCATTCTTCTTCATTTAAATTGCAGTCTAGAAAGTTAACAACCCTCAAATTGTTTGCAGATTGAACGAGTCCGCTGCAAATATCAAATAATCCATTTCCCATATTTCCATTACCTCCAAAATGGATTTTTTCAATGTTGGAACAATATTCAAACAATTTTCCAATCTTTCTGCATTGTTGCTCATTCAGATCACACCAAAGAAAATTTATCTCTTTTAAAGAATTTGACGATTGAAGGAGTACTTTACAAATATCAAATAATCCATTTCCCATTTGTTGATTCCATTCAAAATTGATTGTTTCTATATTTGAACAATTTTCAAATAGATTTCCAATCATTTTACATTCATTTTCATTTAAATTACACCAGAAAAATATCACATGTTTTAAAGAATTCGATGATTGGACGAGTCCATTGCAAATATTTGATAGACCATTTCCCATATTTTCATTTCCTCCGATATTAATGGTTTCAATTTTTGAACAACGTTTGAGTAGTTTGCCAATATGCTTACAATGTTCTTCATTTAAATTACACCAAATAAAATTCAAATCCTTCAAAGTGCTCACAGCTTGTTCAAGTCCATCGCAAATCTGTAATAATCCATTTTCCATCATTAGATTTCCACCAAGATGAATTGTCTCTAATTGAGAGCATTTTTTAAACAATTTTCCAACCATTCTATTTTGTTCATCATTCAAATTACAACTAAAAAGGTTGATATTTTTCAAAGTATTGAATGATTGTTCAAGTCCATTGCAAATGTTAAAAAATCCATTATCCATTGTTTTATTATATCCAAGATTGATACTTTCAATGGTTGAGCAATGTTTCAAGAGATTTCCAATTTTAATGCTCAATTCCTTTTCTAAATTGCAGCAATTCTCCAAATTAACATTTACTGTTTTATGCTTAGAAAGTTGTATAGTTTTCCAGATTATTCTCAATTCTTTCTCTCCAACAAATCTCTTTGACAAGTCAATCAAATTTGATGAATTTTTTATTTTATCTTCATCAGTCTGCTGACAGGAATTTTCCGTTTGAATTTCCAATAAATTTCCAGCAATATCAATACTTTTCATAACATTGGAATTATTTTGAATATGGCAATTTATTTGTATATTTTCAACAATTTGTATTTCTAACTTTTTAAAATTATGTAAAAAATCTTCAACTTCAATATTTTCATTAAAAATTGAATTATAATATTTCTGTCTTGTTTTATTTGTATTTTTAATGATTTTTCTAATATTTTGAAATTCATTTTGAAGTTTTGCTGTTGCTTTTTTCTCGTGTTCATCAATTTTTCTTTGAAGATTTTCTTCATTCTCTGTTTCTTCTTTAAGGAAATTTTCAATTTGTTGTTTTCTGCTTTCAAATTTTGACATTGAAAAAATTTTGCAATTTTTATGATCTTTATCTAAACATTTTAGGCATATATTTTCAATATTTTCAGTTTGACAATAGAGTAATAATTCCTCTTGATGAATTTTACACAAATTATTGCCTATAGATGGCGGTAGTTGTATTGAAGGTTTAAAAAAACTTTTTGGTAATTTGTTTACCTGATTTCCAGGTATTCTTCCAGTTTCTATGCACTGAGGACAAATAATTTCAAAATTTCTTCTTTCTAATCTATCTATGCATTTTAAACAAATCACATGTTGACAAAACAGAAATACAGATTCATCATCTTTCCAAATATCTAAACAATTTACGCACTGTAGTTCATTGGTAGCCATTTTGAAGCTGTCTGCTCGATAAGAAAATATTTACTTTTCCTACCATTTTAAATTTAAAAAAAAGAAATAAACAGTATTGCATTTAATTGTTTTGTAATTAATTAATTTTTGTTAATATTGTTGTTGGTATTTTTAAACTATTTAAAAAATATCGTATTGACAGAAAGTAATCAATTAACAGATTACACAGAGATTATATCACTAGAATTGAAGGATGATACAGTTGAGGTCTGCCTAAAATATGTTATCAGGTTCAAAATCTATGAAAATTTTATAGATATTTTATATTTTTTTTAGTATAACTGAAATCTTAATTCTTTTAACTCCATTTCAGAATTTTTCTTCCCTGAACCTAACCAATCCAATCTAACCTTAGCCTAAAAGTGTTGGTTTTGATACAATTCCTTGGTGTTTTGCTCTTGAGTTCACTTTGTCTGTTATTGCAATTTTTTATTTCTTTATAAACTCAATAGTAGCTCCATCTATCAAGGGCTAACATTCTGCTGTAGGCTTAGAAAAATGTTAATTTTATTCATTTATGTTGATATTAAGACCAAAGTGAAGGTCTAATTTTTAGCCTTCTTGTAGTTGATAGTAACTCAACAGTGGCTCCATCTGTCATAATAAAATTATATTTTTATATAATTCTAACAAAAAGTGATATCACTACACGAGTTTACTCTAAAGGTCTTTTGTCAGAAACCAAAGCAAAATTATTGAATATGTTCGAAGTAGCAGTAAAATTGCACGATCTACTGCAAAGTAGCTAAAACAATTATTCTTACAAACAATGAGAGAGCAAGCGAGGCAAAAAGATTTAAATATTTAAAAATCTTTTTTATGAATGTAATTAAACCTTTAACAAATGTTTTTCTTTAGTGTTGGTTTGTAACAGATAAATATTTAATGAGCATGTATAAAAGTCAATATTAATATTTATTTTTCTATAAAATATCAATAGAATATCCAAATAAACTGCAAATTCTTATATTTTGAACAATTGATAGAAGAGAAATGCAGATTAATAAAGCTTTCATATGCTTTTCATCAATTTTTTACATACAATCCCAGAGAGAGAGAGAAAGAGAGTGTAAGAGAATTATTTTCAAAAGATCTATCGTATTTGTCATGTTGAAAGATATTTTCATTTTTCTTCAATTAGCAAGTTTGTTTTGTTTGTTTTTCTCACTTTAAAAAATGTTCTTATTAATTTTACTGTTTTTGCTGTTTGTCGACAGTACATATGTACTCTTTGCCAAGTGAAGAGGATAATCTCATTAGAAATAATCCTTCTTATCAAAGTACAACAAATCTCGGCTCGTTAATTAACGTTTATTGGGCTTATAAGGCCAATGACGATAGGATTTTTTTTGGCCATGTTAATAATATATACGAAGGTAGTTATACAAGCAGAAACATTCCTGAAAAAAGTTGGTGGATGGTTGATCTTCGTAATTCTTATGAAGTAACGTCTGTTTGCGTTGCGAATAGAGCTGAAGATGGACACTATAGTACTCAAATCTTTAACATATACGTCAAAAATGCCATTTATTTTCTTTGATTTTTTTTGTAGATGATTATTTAAAAAGTTTTAAAATATTCACAAAACTTCATCCGAACGATAATGAAGGTAAATATTGCAATGAACGTGGATCTACACCAATACCAAAGGCTATACACAATCCGGAAGTAGATTATGTATGTTTCGATTGTCCATCAAATCCAACTGGATCATTTGTTGAAATAATACAAACTATAGTCGGCAGCCATTTTGGTATGTGTGATGTTAAAATCTTTGGAAATTTAAAATCGGAGAGAGGTAAAAAAGTAATAAAAAACTGCAAAAAAAAATTATTCCAGTTCTTTTTTTTATGTGTTTTGGCCAGACTTTCAAGTAATCGATCTATCAAATTCAAAATTATTTGAAAACCATTTAAATATCAATCATTTAAGAGATTTCAATCTGGCGACTGAGTTTGAGAAGTCATCTTCAAAAGATATATTTTTTAGAATTGATTTTCAGAGTATTATAAAAGTTAAAGGATTAATGATAATTGGTTCCCAATATGATGGTAAGTAAAAACAAAGGATTTAATGGTGTTTTCTGCCAAAAATTCAAATTTGAATTTGTTTTAGATTCTGAGATGAAATTTACCAATGTCTATATTTCTGTTAGCAACACACCACATACAACTTTTAATAGAAATCTTGTATTTCTTATTGAAAATTATATTCCAAATGTATTTGCCAAGTATAAAACTCATAAATTGTTTTCAAATACCACCGTTTCGGGAAGATATTTACTTATGAATATTTATAATCCCAATGTATTGGATTTTAAAATATCTATGACAGAGCTCACCGTTTATGGACATACTGTTGGTCAAATTAGAGGTTCAAAACTTCACGCCTACTGACCTATATATTTGAAAAATTTCTTCTTTCCAGAAAGCAGAAATAATATAAAAACTATTACTTATAAATCTTCAGATGTTACCGCTATACTTACTGATAGTGTATACAATAACAATGGAGTTGGTGATCACGTGACACTCACAAAAGACGATAAACTTTTTATAGTACCAGCATTCACATCAATTTTAACAATTTGTTTAACGCGTAAGTAGGATTTATGTGGAAGAGAAAAAATAATCAAAAATTTCACTCTTTTTCTATTTACAGTATTAAATAACCAAACAACTGAAGGATTTCAATTGATAGTCATGAAATTAAATAATGAAATTGAAAAAAACTTAACAATACCTGGAAATTATTCAACTTATCAAACTCTATGTGTAAATAATATAAGAATAGTTGAAACGACAGTTGAAATTTTATCTTTGGATGACAATCAAAAGTTATCTGAAATTGATTTCATAGATTTACATGGTGAGATTGTTCAATTTTTCAAATTATTATTATTCATTTTGTCACATCTAGATATTATTTTTTAAAATTAAGTAGTACAGCTCATAATTTTTTAAATTTCCAATTTTTTTCAAATATACACAAAAACATTCAGAGTTCGAGGTTAAGGTAAGAGGTACATGTTTTTAAAGAAACAAATAATTAAGTAAGTATACTTTGACAACATTTTATAATTACATTAAAAGATTATTTCACCCCTCTGCTTCCAAATATGATAATTTCACTAGATTTTTTTTGTTCTGACAAAGATATTGTACAACTTTGGTAATATTTAACATGCTTAAACTCTATTATTTTATGCAACTCATACATGTACATCTTAAAAGATATATATCTGATTAGTCAGCTTGAAGGCTCATCCTTAATTACCAGTTAAGGTTTGGCCAAGTTATAGTTCAATTAACCTTCCTAAATGTTGAACCTTGTAACATCCTGTTACTGAAGATAAAAGTCCTTTCCAATCATTTTTCAACTTATCAAGGTACTCACACAAATAGAATCTTTCAATTTTATTTGGCGAAGAAAATTTTAATAAATCAAACATTTTTTTTTTCAGAGTGTAATTTTTGTTCTTTAAATGAGAATCTAGAATGATTTTTAAATATTTTTAAAACTACATTTTAAGTTTAAATTTCTAGAAAAGAACAGAAACAGGTAAAGTACAAAAGTTTTTGTTAGTTAAAAATATGTTGAGGATTTTCTGGAATAACTTGTTCAAAGAGTTTTGAAATTCTAACCAATCCAATGGAATATACAGTATTATAAAGTATCACGGGTAGGAGGATAAGCCTCTTCTGAATGTATTTTCCCTCTATTTAAGACTGACTTTAATAACTGAAAAATATACAAATGATGAAAAATTCAAAAGAAAACAATTCTTCTAAATACCTTCCAAATAAAAAATTCTATAAATTCAATAAGTGTGATGACAGAAGCTCCTAAAAGTAGTCCCAAAAAACCACCAACCTCTGAGAGAAAGGATAAAAAACCAAATTTCTCCTGTTGAATAACCCTTTGATAGCTCATTTCATTGTAGAAAACATCAACTTTTGCAAAGTTCTTTCTGTTGAAAAATTCATTTAAAAAGTCAAATTAAGAAGAAAAGAGAGCGAGAGAGAAATCTTACAGGAAAAAATCTTTATCTATCTTGGATTTTTTGGAGAATTCAAACATCATAGCTTGAAGATTATTGTAATCGTATAAAATTTCATAGAATACTTTTGGAGAAATATTAGGAGATTTAAATGCGTGCTTCAGCATATCAATAGTGAAAAAGTAAAAACAATCACTCCATATATGTTTATAATAGATGTGAAAATTTTGAATTGAGCAGTTCTGACTAATTTTATATTCATTTTTCTTCTGATTAAATAACCAATGAAAATTTTCCATTTTTCTATAAAGAATACTTTTATTATTTTCATCTCTTTCTGNGTCCGGATTAGGCAAAATTAAAAATTTAAGTAGATAAACTGATTTGCAGTCCAAGTACTACTCCAACAATAGCGATAATAATAGTAAGAGATAAATGAGTGAATGCAATAATTACCCACTTCTTGACATTCATACGCTGCCTTCGGAATAAGACTATTTGTTTTGTTTGACCAGTAGTACGGTCATTAAAACTAGAATCTAGTTGTAAAAACTAATATCCTTTAAGAAACATTATCAAAAAAATGCTCTTTTTTTATGAGATCTAGTTTTAGTAATTATACCTGGAAAAAAGGGGTTAGTTAAAAATTCTTTAGACGAAATAATGGTGTTTTGTTGATTAATTTCTACTGAAAATACATTTATTGAGACTATTTGAGGACGAACTTAGAAGGTTCTATTTGTTTGAGTACTTTGGTGAATTGGTAAATGATTGAAAGGACAATTACTGTTCTGAAGAACCAGCAATTCCTACAATTACAATACAACAAAATATAGATATCTGTTATGTTTCTTCCGTTGTATTAGATGCTATTTCTACAGACAAATTGGCATTTTCTAGGTGTGTAGATGTATCTACTAAAGGTTCTACCTTTTAATAGATAAGTTAAAAAGAGTCATAAGTGTGGTCTAGAGGTTCTGGTCATTGTTTCAAGACAAGGTTCACTTTTTGAAAAGGCACTTGATTCCAAGACATTTTGCTCCTCTTGTGTATATGATTTTTTTGAGTTTATAGAAATTGATTAAATCTAATTATAAATATTAAAAATGAATATTTATGATGATTATTGAGACAAATTGTTGACACTAAATGACAAAAAATTTGATGTCAATTTATACTTGATATAAACATTTTTATAATATTTTTCCAATATTTGCTTTATAGAATTGTTTTGTTTGCATAATAATTAGCCTCGACATATATTTTCAGATACAGATTAGTTTCAATCTCTCTCTTTCTTCAGAGTACTTTGTACTTTGTTGTATTGTAATTGTGGGAATTTCTGCTTCTTCAGAACAGTCTTAATAAATGTAATTTTGGTAGAAATTAATTAACAAAATACCAATATCTCGTCCATAGAATATGTATTGAGTAAATCAGTTTCTACTTCCTAAACAACTAAGCTGATAGTTAGAGAACTGAACTGACAAGCTTGCGAAATGCATTTCCTTTTATACATTTACCAAAGCTCGGGTTCAAGTCGTCAAAAGCTTACTTAAATGAAATGTGACAGTCTCACAATTCAAATATAACAAAAACATGAAAGACTGATATATCACATATCTAAAATATAATCTTCAGATTAGAGCAACATGGACACTACAAAACAAGCCTGCCTCTTCAGTATCTGGTATTGAATAAGATTTGACAACTTTGACATGCATCTTTTCCATGTTCTTTGTTCCTTTGATAATTTCAATTCCAATAGTAAGTATTTAGTGTTTTAGATAATATATAAAAAAGATTATCAGTACAACTGAAACTGGATAGATTGTAACAGCTAAGATTACGGTCATTACCCATGTTTCAAATAGGAAATACCGTTATCCTTTAGTCGTTAATTAAACATTTGATCACAATGGTATAAAAACAAGAGAAAAGAGAACAAAATATATTTTCCATTGATAATGAATTATCTGGAAACATTTCATATTCAATTAGTTCTATTCTTTATTTTATTTATTCATTATGTAACTGTAAAAGAAGAATATGCGGATGATGGATGGGATAAATTCACTGATGAATTGGAAATGCAACATTTAAAAGTGAATATAAGCCATTCAACAAATAATTACGACTATGGCAATCTATATGTCACCTATTCAAATGGTGTTGATCAAATAGATATTGCCTATAGGCCATTAAGCATGAATATTACAAATATCATTTGTTCATCATTACAATATGACTCATTCGTATCGTTCTCAACAAGTGATTGGAAGAGGGAACCCGACACTTGTCTAGAGATAGTCACTGATGCAAATGTATTGAAATTGTGAATATTTCCTCTTTGAAGTGAACAAAATGTTGAATAAAAACCTTACTAAGCATTTTTTTTTATTTCTTTCAAAAGCACAAACTCTACATCAAAAGGTTGCAAATCAGGATTATTTATGTTAAAATGTTTTAAATTGAATTCAAATTGTTTGTATTTTTAATAATTCAATCAACTTGAACAAAAATGTTGTTTTTGATATATTTCAGATTTTTTTACAATAAGAAATTCTTTATTAAACTACTTTTTGTATTATAAATTAAATGGCGAAATTTATAAAATTGGAGTGTTAAAGTCGCTATTTTTGAAAAGAAAATACTGTAGACAAAGTGTATATAATTTAAAAGAAAAAAATTCTCTTCAATATTTTATTAATAAAATAAACAAAAATTTTAAATTAATACCAAAACAAATTGATAAAAATGAAATGATAAAATTGGATTCGAATTCTACATCACACCAAATATGTGTTTATGAAGATTTGAATGGTTTGGATAGTCTTTTTTTAATTTGAATTTTATGTTTTCTCTCTCTCTCTCTCTCTCTCTCTCTATCTATCTCCTTTCAGATTTAAGCATCATAAACAATAGTAACAAATTTGAATATAGCAGCATGGTGTTTAAAACAAAATCATTGGAAGAATTTCCTTTATTATTCAATTCTAATATATCTGTGAGAATAGCTTGTCAATTCCTTCGCGAGGTAATATTAAAGGGGAAACTTGTTACAGAATGTAGTAGAAGAATTTATCTAAAGGTGAAAACAGGCTATTATATATTCTCTCTCTCTTTTTCAATGATTGATCAATTGATCTATAGAAAAGTCAACAATTAATATCTGGCTGTCGTGAATGGAAAAATGAAATTGTAGATTGTATCTATGACAATGATAAAAAGGCCTACAAATATTTTGTAGATTACAAATTGAACTCGTCGAAAAACGAAATTTTTGTTATATTCAATTCAGTTGAGTCGATTGACTGGATACCAAAAATTTTAAATTCAACTAAAACATACAATTTAATAACTGCCACGGCTAAAGATCCTATTGATTTAGATATA